CTAAAAGCATCGCGCATAAATCTCCATTTTTCTTCTGATCATATATGGCTTGATAAAATGTTATCACCATGCCTTCTTTAACGATTCATGCAAATAGGAGCCCTCAATCGTTTCGTTCAGGTTTGCAGTCGGTAAGTGCTTCTCTTACAGAGAACTGCCTGAACATCGGACGAGTTACGTCAGTCCTTCGCGGATCAGGGGTTTGCACTATGCCGTATCTCGTCCTGCTATACGATGCTTTACTTTGGTCGTTGTCCACCCTCGGTGACGACGTCAATGTTACGTTTCCTAAAGCCCATTGGTTGTTAACGATGCTGAGCGACAGGCGCGGTTTCTTTGTTGCAAACAGCCATATCATCTTTTATTATTTTTAATTGCCTATGTTATTCTTGTGAGGAAAAAGTCTTTCAGCTGCGAACCGAATTTCTTGTGTCGATCTGCTGTAAAATTATAATCAGCCGTGATTCGAACGGGCAGTTTAGGCACGTTACCTTTGTATACTTTTATATTATTGTGGGTTTCTATTCCTACAGTGCAAACGGTATTCGAAACCAGCTGGTATTACACCTGTGTACTGTGCTGATTACTGTCTCTTGAAGCTGTTAGATACCCGTGTTCTCCACATGGAAAAGCAGACCTTGAATCTGAATGATACACACAACGGTAGTCTGGTTATACCACGTTGGATGATATGTACGACCATCATGCTATCCATTGTGAACACTAATTATGGCTGCTTTTTGCCGTGACCCATTTAGTAGCTATTTAACTGACTATCCAGTGTGATAATCAGCACAAGGTTTAATCTGGATTTCTTTTTTCTTCGAAATCAGCCAGAGGCATTCTGGCTGAAAAGAAGGCGAATGGGTGGACTGATAGCCTTAGGTTACTAAGTTAATTTTATGTTGACCCTGATCGATAGGATGAATTACTTCGCCAATAGGTTATATGGTTGTATTACAGCCATTGGGTCGCTAGCTAATCACTTATATAAACGGTTTTATACTAAATGGTGAGAAATGATGAGAATGGTGTTTATTGCCTATAATTCCGCCAAAGCACATCGCTAATCGACGCTGCATCAGCTGGCTGTTCGACAGATGTGGATTATACCTCGACCTGCTTGTCAACGACAATCTGACATGATGGTAAGGTGTAAGGAAGAGTTTAGTCGCAGCCAAAACAGGCTATGTTTCTTAGTCTCTGAGGCATCCACACCGACCGACCGAGGACAGCAGGTAAATGGCAGTTTGTTCGCAGCTGCGTGGTTCTTACTGCTGCTTATGCTACACCAGTGTACTATGAGATCTAGGAATAGGTTAACTCGTCATTTTACAACGCAGTATTTGAATGACCTCCTCAGTTGGAGAATTCAAGCAAAAACTCAATAGCAGTGTGGTGATCAAAGACGAAAGTGAGGCGCCAAACGTTGCATACGAGGTTCCACATGCCTCAGTCATCCTTGTATGAAAAGTTGACACGGAATAGACCTAATTTAACCTCTCCCTTGGCCAGTTTTCCCTGTGCGACGGCAACAACTGATAAATATTATCACTCAATGGTTCCCCCATTTTGTTAAGACACAAATGGATCATAAAGACATTTCCATATCTCACACGTATGAGAAACAGATTTCGAGGGCTGGCCTCTTTTTCAAAGAGGGTGAGCAGTTGATTTTCGAAACTTTACGCTGTGCATGAATAGTAACGTAAGGTACTCGATATATGTGAGTGCAGTTTCGAGTTATATTTTCTTCCAAAGCCACTTGGGTAGCAACGTGGTTCAATTCGTTTGTTAATTCTGCTTTTTGTTGGCAAAAGTTCAATTTAACGGGGTACGAGGCCTTGGCGTTGTCTTCGGTTGTCGAGTCATGCACGTAGCCTTTCGCTCGTCATTGGCGATAAGCTTGACTCGTCATATCGGCGTTTATTAAAGTTCGGAGAGCTTCATGCTGTCTATGTACTCAGGCGTGTGTAAACTGCAAACACACCCCATAAGGCGGTCCTGCTCTTTGTCTATGGCTCTCCTTTGCATTGCGTGGCCCAGTGATATGTGAACGACTACTGAGCAGAGGCTGTAAAGTATTAAGGCGAGCCCTCCTGTTGATCGCTGGGATTATTAGTATCAGTAAAGGATAACTGGCGGAATAGATTACAGTATGAGTTATAAATCGACGTATCGTTTTGACCAGTGGTAGTTATTAAACTACATAGTTACCCCTTGCAGACTTGATCACAGCATTCTGGCATAAGAAACAGCTAGCTACGCATGCTGCCCGTCAGAGCCTAAGTCTCCCGCAGTTCAGTTATGCCGTATATGTCAAAATTCCTGCGAGCTGCAGAAGGACAAAAAACTATTAATTTGAGAAAAGAAAAAATCTTCATTAATGTTTAGTTTTTCTGAAGGCTGATATGTGTATATGTTAGAAATTTCTGCGATTTATTAATAGCAGTGCATTCTCTATATGCTGATGATAACGCTAGTCGTTTAAGTTAATAAACTTTGATTGAATTTACTGACCAGTTAATAATGAGCCTACTGTTGCTTCAGGAACGGTCAATCGATTACAAGGGCAAACAGCGTATCTCCAATGCTGGAGAAACGTACTAATGGCAGCGCCACGAAGTTCGACACTATCTCCAGGGTTTGTTCGAAGGTAGGCATGACTCGATGGTCGACGGCTGCTATGTTTGTCTTGTTGTTGCCGTCGTCGATGCGTCACCTCATGCGTTTCCCCCGTACAGACGACTGTTTCTAGCGTTCTGAGAGCGACGGTCAGAAATTCTGGTCCGTCAAGTCCAGCGACAGTAGGTCGCACGATTTCAATATGCGACTTGACACGTCATTCGATATATTGATCGATGCCCTACAGTAAGCACTTTACACTTGACACCTTTCGACCAATGACCGGCGATTTCGCTAGACTATATGCTGACAAGTTTCGCGAAGAACTGAACGCACTGAAAGAGCTTGACACCGAATCGTGTGTCTATCCGGACCAGGTAAGAAGCATGTGCCACATATCCAAGCCGTCTGACCATCTTTTTTGTAGGTCAGAGAAGGGGACCGTCTGTTTCAGGTAATTGAGTGCCCAGCGGAGCCACCGGCCTCCCATGGGACTTCCTTACCGCTCTGTTAACATCTAGAGTGCTAATTTGGCCATATCGGTGTGAACTGAAACTGCTTTGCTGTTCAATCCATTGCAGTTGTACAATTAATTCCTCGGTTTTCTATAATTGTCACTAAACTTACTTCCTTTTCCCTATATCTGAGTTTCTGTACCGTATTCTCCGTGTTTAAATTTGCGTCATAGCTACGACCTGGTCTGAGGCTCGGGCAATAATGCGGTAAACCACAGATTAACGGGTCAAGAATCAACACCATATTAGTATCTGCCTATACCGGTACGAACGGATTACCACTCTGGACGGTAGCACATGCAAACCAAAGAAACTTACTGCGACAGTGACGTCACCATATATACGTGGTTGCTGATAATAAAGTACAAAATAACTGCTCATTAGTTCATTAGACACGAAACACTGACAGTTAAATAAATGATGGTAAAGATTATAATTAATCGTAAAATGATCGTTAGGATGATTATGATAAGTGATCTAAAAGATTTCGACTGGGATATGGTGACGCAGAGGCAAAGAGATCGACTTTAAACTCCGGAGGTGCCGGGTTCGAATCTGCTTAAGGAGCTCAAGGCGCAGTATTAATCTTAACCGCGAATTACCTTGAATAAGGAATTAACCCCACGTTGCTTCAGCGCAGCCAGTCGGTGACTTGCGGATAATGTGGACAGCATCATATCCTGACGTGACGATGCCAGAGTGGGCGAGGCTAACGACGATGCTGTCCGATGCGAGTGCCTTTTGTGGCTGCACCTCACTCTCACTCACGTGATGGCTGAGTATCCGGTGTAATAATCAGCACAGCATGTAACCCTGAATTTGTATTTTTATTCTTTCTCACGATAGTCGCCTGGACGCCCCTCTACTAGACTTACTTTTTAGTTGAAATTGTTCTAATTCAACGGGCTATGCTTCGTTGCAATAAGCCGAGATATCAGGTGAGTAAAAGCCTTATCTCAGCGAAGGGCAGACATCAGACACAACGCTTGTAAGTTCAGTAACTTTCCGAAAGATCACAGTTGTTCGTTGCTACCTGTGTTTCTGTTGGTCACATCGCAGTTCGGAGGGTATGAGTACTCATCAAAGAGATGTCTATGCAAAATCACGCTGTACCTGGGTAACAAACCCGTCCGCATGGTTTCTAGGGCCGAGCGACTATAACTGCCTCAAATGATAATTCGTGTTTAACGGTTAATGCAAGAAATGCACCCCTAGTGCTTCGGTGCAGCCATCTGGACAATGAATAGCAGGTTAGCGATTTGTAACAACAAAATGTATTTTCCTCAACGGGTTGTACCAGAAATTACGAAGTGGGAAATCAAGCCCATTATATGCGGATTTTAGGTGACTACATTTTATTTTGACATTCCGAGTAGCTACCCTGGCTCTTCATCAGTACAAAGGAAATTTCAACGACTGCAATGTAAGACCATAAGGTTTGGTGGGGTTATATGGAGTATATCGCGCCGAACCCCACGTTGGACATACAGGCCCATCATGATACAAGATGTGTCGGCGGCCAAAACTTCCTTCATGCCTTCTGGCAGCTGAGGGCGTAACGGCTGCCAAAGATCTACAGTAAGACAGCCAATATGCCAGTAAGCAACGCAACCGCTACCTGATTTGAACAGTGGAGGTACACAGCGCGATTGCGATTACAGCAGGTCAGACATGGTTACTCGAAACGATCCTAACAGATAGAACTCACGGTCACAAACTGGAGCATCAACTCCTTCTGTGAGCAAGAGCAGCAGCTAATTGACGAGGCCACAAAGCGCCGACTAAATGTTGTTAGATTCTCGTTAACGAAGCCCAAGACTCCTGCATTCTCAGCCTCTGCAGGTGGAAGTTTTTCTACCCAGGTGTTGGCGGTACGACGCGCTCTCAGGCCGGTGTTAGTGTTCCGGTGGGAAACAACCTGGCTGACAGGATCATTGAGTCTCACCCTGTCAGCGGAAGAGTGGCAATCCTCCAACTGAAGTCGACGCAGGCCAAGCCTCTGACCTTGTCGCAGGTGTATGCTCCCAAATCCACGGGAGGATTTGAGTCCTTCGTGAAGGACTAAGGTACTCTGTACGAAGTGCAGACTCGAATCCATCATTCCAATGGGTGATTTCAATGCGCCCAAAGGAGTTGGCGCTGACAAAGGGAAAGGCGTGGCTGGAAAAACGGCCCTAGTGACCTCGATAAAATTGCCATTATTGAAGTTATTGCGGCTTTGTGCAAACAACGGACTGTCCATTATGAACACCTTTTGTTTTGAACGCTCGAGTATCGAAGTATGCTTCGGTACACCTGGTATCGTAAAGTTTGTGCACAGAAGTCAGTGGTCGATTTGACAATCGTACCGTCTGACTTACGATGTTCTGTAATGCTCTCTCAACTGATGAGAACCTTCTTTTTGTTACCTTCCTCTATAAAACATGTTGTTCCGTGGAAAGACCTGGCGGCAGAAGCGGTCACACAATCATATACGAAAAATTACCTTCGGCGGATATGAGGGCGAAATTTGCAAACGACATCGTACGACGGTTTGAACAGATGCAAATAATGACAGTTGTCAATATCAACCGAATGGAAGCTCTTTAAAAGCAGTTGACTTGGGTTGCCATCGAATGCTGCGGTTTCAAATGGGTGGCCTGCTACCTGAAAGTCAGAAATAGACTTCCTGGTGGACATCAGAGGTTCCATTGGCTGTCACCGAGAAGAACGTTGCATTGAAGAGGTGGCTCTGAAGCAAAGAGCTTTCAACTCGAACGCAGTAGGAAGAAGAGCGCAAGACAGCAGCGAAAGCGCTTGCCAAAGTGAAAGCCATTTCCTGCCATAACTTCGGTGAAGTGCTAGAATCGAATTTCCAAATGGCAAGCAAGGTAGTTTGGCAGTCTATACTCCGCCTACGAGATAGAAAGAAGAACAGTCTACGGGCCATGGAGGGCAAGTGCGGACTCTCTCTCTGACCAAGGATCTGGACATTATTATGCAAATGAGGGAGTATTTTGAGGAACTCTTTAAGCAACCGCAGAAAGACTCACATGAAAAGCTGCAGGCATAGAATATCACTCAGTCTTTCAGTTGTAATAAGTTGAGAAAGCTCTGAAAGCTTACTAGATGATAAAACTGCCTTTAGGCTAACAATGCCGCGGAATAACTGACCATAAGATATAAGAAGAGCAATGTGTCTTTAGATCAGGCCGAAGCATTTCTTACCTAGAGAAAGCCTATGACCGTATCCCGTGCCTGCAAACATAGGGTCAATGTCCAGTTGCTATAAGCCATCCAGGCAGTACGTGTTGATAGTAGGTGTCACATCAGAGTAAATGGCGTCAGATCGAAAACGTTCAACGTTGGCACTGGGCTCCGCCAAGACTGCGTTCTGTCCCTGCTTTTGTTTCAAGTGTATATGGATAGGACGTTTAGAAGTAGTCAGGGTGATGAGACGTGGAAATGAGAAGGTTGCCGTTTGAAGACCATGAGTTTTCCGCTTGCCGACGACCTTGGTTTGTTGCCTTGTTCTGAAACCGATCTTGATCGCGTTTGAAAGTTCGCTGCTGACTGTGATGTGGCTGGCATGCGTGTGATCTTGTCTGAAACGAAAAGCCTAGTGCTTTCTCGACGTTCTCATTTCCTTTACGCTCTGCTCTGCAGATAAATGGAGAAGCAGTGGAAGAGATGGATAAGTTCACGTACCTCGGGGACGGTGATTATTGCTAGTAACAAATGGGAGTAGGATATCGACAGGCGAATTGGAATAGACAGCGACGTTCTGTGTGAACCCGCATGACTAAAGCAGAGCTAACTCTGAAGACTGAGCTTTCTGCGTTCAAGTCGATCTTCATCCCTATGCTCACCCATGATCCTCAGTCGTGAGCCACGCCATGACTGGCACACCTGGCTGGAATGGCATTCTGATGGATGTCTGAGACTCACACATCTCGACTTGGTCCGGGGTTCAGAGATCGACGAGAGGCTTTGTGTTGAACCGCTGCTTCTCCACGCTGAGAAGGCACAGCTGCGATGGTTTGGGTAGGTCTTGCGAATGTCACTAGTGGGTAAGAAGCTTGTATGCTTGCTCGACCGTCCGGCGAAGACTCCTGGAATGGCCAAGAACATCGTGGGCTATGTGTCTCGAAGAACTCTGCGCGAGACTCGGGTTATTGTATGCGAAAGTTCAAGTTCTGGGACAGGATCAAGTCAGGACGCTGAATGCGTTTGCATCCGTGACTTCAAAAAGGCGATCATCGAAACTGATTGATTGACCTTATGGTGCTGATTATTTGTCTGTTATCAGGTGGGCGAGGACACATTTCAACCGTGAGGATCATGCATCACTCAGAATTGTCGTGTGCCTAGGCGTCCTATGATAATCACCCCAGAACGCCGTGCTTCCCCTACTGTTCGCAAGTCAGCAATTTGCTACCTACTTCTCGGCTGATTGCACCAAAGCACCATGGAGTAAATTCACTGCTTAGGGAAACAACGATTTGTAAGATTTTACGACGAGTTGTTATTCAGATTTCGCACTTTAAAGCGT